CATCCCCATCATGCAGTCTGTGCTCAGCAAACAGTAGTGTTCATTAAATCTTTGCTTTTGAATAAGAAGGTATGAGAAAGTCTGTTGGAAACTACTTTGAATGATAGATGCGAGATGAAAGGAAATGCCTTTTCCTTTATTCATAACCCTTCTGACACCAAATGTGCGGGGTTTTCGACACCAAGCAATTCTCCAGTTCCTGATGGACACCCACTGGGATGTTTTACAATTTCACTCAATTCTGGTACTGACTGCCCGAGGTTAGTGCAGACGCCACAAAAGCAAGGGCTCAATTCCACAAGACTCTCGCCACTTCAGACACCAATCCCAAGTCCCAGGTTGTCACCTGTATTTCTTTTCTTTCTAAAGTTTCCACATATGCACATAGTTTTATTATTTTATTTTTATTGAACTTATTGTAGTGGCATTGGTTAATAAAATTATATAGGTCTCAGGTTCTGTAATACACCGTCGGTATATTGTATTGTGTGTTCACCACCCCAAGTCAAGTCTCCTTCCGTCACCATTTATCTCCCCTTTACCCTCTTCTCCCTGCCCCAACTCCTTTTCCTTCTGGTAGTCACCATCCTGATGTCTGTGTCTACGAGTGTTTTTTTTTTCATTGTTGTTGTTTCTGCTTAATCCCTTAATCTGACTAACCTGCTCTAAATTGTGGATTCCCATGATCCCTCCCCAAGTCTGATCATTAGTTAGAACAGCTCACAACACTTAGAATAGCTCACATTTACTTATAATTCATAAGGAACACAGATGAATAGCCAGATAAAGGGGAATATAGATCGAGGCATGGAGAAGGAATTCAGAGTCTGTGCCCTCCTGGGTGCACCACCCTCCCAGCACCTGCCTGGATTGGAAGCTCTCTGACCTGTGGTTGTGAGGCTTATATGGAGGTTGCATTATGAAGGCATGATGGATTAAATCACCGGCCATTGGTGACTGAACTCCCTGGGGTCGGGAGTGGGGCTCACTAGTCATATGCTTGGTCCCTCTGACAAGCAGCACCCTCCCATCCAAGCACCACCTCCTTAGCGTAAACTGAGGTATGGCTTCGGGGCTTATCATGAGGATATTTAGCAACTCTGTGCCAGGAACTGGGGACCAAATAGCTACTTCTTGGTGTATAACAGTATCACAGGAGATCAATCCACATTTCCCGCAGCGACTAGGAGGGAACGGTAAGTTCCTGATCATGCATGCTCTCCGCAGAAAGCATGTACCATATTCAGGAAAGATTTTCAGATAGTTATGTGTTGGGTAGTTAGGAGGGAGGGGAACTGAGATACCTGAGAGCTGTTGTTGGATGTCTAGGTAGCGTGGGAAACTGGTTTCAGGAGGCACTAACTGGTTATGTCGCCTGCCTCTCCAGAAGAGTCTGCTCCTTCCAGAGGAGCCGGCTGACTCTGTCATCACTGACACGGAGTTGCTGGAGAGGTCTCAGTCCGCCCTTGAACCCAGGGGCCCTGTGTTTGTTGTCTTCCTTGCAGGTAATTAAAAGTTAATATTTGAAATGAGTGAACTCAGGCAGAAATAATGACTTTGACTTAGAGTATCGAGAGGTCACATCCAGCCAGGTGAATAGAGATCACGCAGCCTGGGCTCCCACCAAGTTTCTAGATGGACCAGGAGGAAAAGCTCTGAATGGACCTGCCAGAACGGGCGGGTGTCATCTGGCTGAGGTTGGGGGAGACCGGCAGGGTGTCATCTGGCTGAGGTTGGGGGAGACCGGCAGGGTGTCATCTGGCTGAGGGTGGGGGAGGCGGGCGGGTGTCATCTGGCTGAGGGTGGGGGAGGCGGAAGGGTGTCATCTGCCTGAGGGTGGGGGAGTATTTTTCCTTTTTCTTTGGCAGGTTTATTGAGTTATCATTGATATAAGATAGATGACACATATTTAAAGTGTAAAATTTGAACAGGTTTGACATATGTGGAGAAACCATCACCACCATCAAGATAATGAACACACCTTCACCTCAACCATTTCCCCGGCCCCCTCGCAATCCCTTCATTCCCCCCGTCCTCCCCACCTCATCCCCAGTCAACCACTGATCTGTTTCTGTCATGATAGTTTGCATCGTTTGGGATTTTATACAAATGGAATTATACTGTGGATGTGTGTTCCTTCTCTCCAGTTCAGCCTTAGGAAAAGGGAGGGTTCAATGAACGTGGCCTTGGGAACCTGCGCTGCTGCATGAAGAGGTGAGGGTACCCTCCCAGGTGCTGGGCTGACTCCTTTGCTCACTTGCAGTTGTCACTCCTTGGTCAGACTTTCCTGAACAGCGGCCAGGGTTTAATGTTACCAGTCAGATTGGAGGCAGGGGGTGGCTGTTGACTTTCCAGAAATCATTGGCAGAGACGCTTTAGTGCCTTTAGCCTGTGGGGTTTTATGAGGTTACGGCATGATGGAGATCAGCACAGTAAATTCTATTACAAGGTGTTTCCATGTCACCGGAGCTGTGGAAGCTGTGCAGACCCTAGCACTGCAGGAGCTGTGAGGCCTTGGCTTAGCCCAGAGCCAGAGCCCTGGGTTCGTTTCCCACCTGTAAGATGAGGGCCTTGCTCCCTCTTCCCTGGGTTGTTGGAGTGAAGGTGCATTGAAACAGTCAAAGGTATACAAGTGAGAGGCAATACTGAAGCCCTGGGTGACCTGCAGTCATAATGATATGCTGACCTGGTTGCAATAAGTTGTTATGGTGAATCATTCCATACCACAAAGCACTTGGTCCCTTCTCTCTGCCCAGTCATTCAATAATGAAAGGGCATGGTGAAGCATGGGACCCTCCTCACCTTCCCCCCCACCCTGGGCCATGCATGCCTGCCAGGCCGTTTCCAGTGTGGACATGGATGGTGATGCCAGAACAGTGCCCACGGCACAGGTGACACCCGTTTCCCTGCAGGCAGCCCCAGAGGTCTGGTTTCCTCTCCTAAGTGGATCTCAAGACTTCTCCCCCCCCACCTCGAAGGAAGAAGGGGACTTGTTCTAACAGAGGCACCACTGACAATTCAAGAGGTGCTGGTCCCCTGGGGGCTGGAGTGGAGATTGCCTTGTCAGGTGCAGGAATGTCGGACTGAGGAGATGGGGGTTGGGCAGGTTGCAGTGAGCCCTGGGTCAGGGTCCCGCAGCATCAGGTCCCTGGCAATTAACCGGGCGCCCTTGTGTCCACAGCCAGAGCTTCCCCACAAGGCACTGGGATGCCCCAGGCTGGAGTCACTGCTGAGCACCTGGACCCCAGGCCATGGCCCAGAGGCATGGCCAGGGCAGGGAGGTCTGGGGAGCGCTCCTTCCTGAGCCAGGGAAAGAGGTGGAGGGGGCCTGCAGCTAGCTGGTCTAAGGTCAGCTGGCCTGTTCGCCTTGGCCTGATTTTCCACCTGCCCTCTTTCCTTCCGCCCTTGCCCTCCATATCTGCCTCCCTGGGTCCTCCTAGCCTCTGTCTCCCACCCCCTGCCCCTCATGCCAGTGTTTATTTTTGTGTGCAAGTCCTCCAGGTCTAACCCTCTCAAAGGAAGAGGCCAGTGTTCCACATCCGCACGGTGGCTGTGCTGCCCTGGCCACATGGGCGGACGGAGCACTGGAGTGTGGTTAGTGAAATGAGAGAGACTCCGTTTATTTTATTTTCATAAGTTTAAATTTAAAAGCTGATAATTCAGTTATTTGGAAAACTTCTGGGTGTGTTTGGAGCAAGTATGTGAACCTGCTTTTTCAACTGTAAATTTTATGAAGTCTAAATATAGATAAAATGTTTTCAATGAAAACGTAGCATCTGAATTGAGATGTGCTAGAAGGGTAAAATACACACCAGATTTCAGACATGCTGTGAGGAAAAAAACCACGAATGAAATTCTTTCATATCAAAATATTGATCACATGTTGAAATGATAGTATTTTGGATCTACTGGGTTACATAAAATATAGTAAAATTAATGTCACTGGTTTCTTTTACCTTTTTTGGTGTGGCTACTAGAACTTTAAAATTTCACATCTTGCATTATATTTTACTGGAATCCTGCTGGGCTGTGTGCTTAGATTGCCCATTTAGCTGGATTTCGATGAGGAGGCAATGGCCGCACTGAAAGAGGACTGGAGTCTCCTCGGCCGGCCTGTGGCTCTTGTCACCACACTTGCCGGTCCTCACTGCGAGGGAAGGGAGAGCAGGGAGAGGGGGCGAGGGCTGGGGGGCAGGTGGGGGTGACTTGTGTTATACCCATCTCTGCCCTGGGGCGACTGAAGTGAGAACCGGGAGCTTTTCTAAGTAAGTCAGGTACACAGTGATGGCCTGGCTTCTTTAGCAAACCAGACTCTGAAATCTGGACTTGGACAAAAGATGGCACGGAGGGCGATAGTGTGTTTTGTAAAAAGAATCCAAAGTAAGGTCACATTCAGGCAACCAAGAGAGGCTACCACCTACGAGGTATAATATCTGGTAAAGGGACAGAAGACCCGTTTCCTGTGTTCACGGCCCTTTGGTTAAGAATAGCTCCCTCTTTTCCAAGCATCTGTTTATCTCTGACTTAGTTTTCAAGCTCTTTCCCTGATCGCTCTAGACCAGTGGTTGGCAAACTGCGGCTCTCGAGCCACATGCGGCTCTTTGGCCCCTTGAGTGTGGCTCTTCCTAAGCCTTAGGAGTACCCTAATTAAGTTAATAACAATGTACCTATCTATATAGTTTAAGTTTAAAAAATTTGGCTCTCAAAAGAAATTTCAATCGTTGTACTGTTGATATTTGGCTCTGTTGACTGAGTTTGCTGACCACTGCTCTAGACTTCCTGGCTCCGGGTAAGCGGCTGGGACCCTGGGCTGCAGGCACCGCAGGCCTCCACCTGCAATAGAGGGATGGAGGACTTCAGTGTGTGTGCCTTCGGAGCCAGGTGCTGAGACCTGGAGGCAAACGGCATTGCTGTTCATTCTGATGGGTCACTTGTCACGCGACCCTGGGAACTGCCGAGTGCCTTGCTGATAGTAGTGCTTTACCCTCACCTCCAGAAACTCAGTCTCCTGTGAAAAACTTTATTTATAATTTCTCATATTTACAGTGTCTTCATTACAATCATTCTTACAATAAATACATAAGTGCTAAACAGACCTTCATCACAGTGGCCGACGCTCCGTCCCAGGCACAGGGACAGAGGGGTGCTGCAGACCCCGGTGCTCCCCAAGGGTCAGCCAGGAGGCGCTCAGAGAGCTTAGTGAAGGGGAGAAGAATTTAAGGTCTGAACTTGAAATGCCATTAATAGTCAATGCAGCAAAATCTTAGAATGTCTATTAAGAAAACAGGTGCAGGTTTTTACTGTTTGATCAGAGGGTACTAAAGAAACAAAACGGAGAGACTCCTGACCCCCACTAGTGAGAGGCGACGAAGCCAGGCCTTCCCGCGCGCCCTCCCCCCACCCAGGTTTCCCTCAGTGGCGACTGGTGTCAGTGGGTCAGTGAGAGCCTGAGGAAAGGCTTCCCAGTCCCATAAGGATTAGGAGGGAGGTCGCCTGTTGGTTCTGGGAGCCTCTGCTTGCTTCCCCGGCTTTGTTTTTTCTCAGCCGAGAGGCCCAGGAAGCCAGAGCCTGGGCTGTGCTGGGGGAAGGGGGCAAGAGAAACGCCACTGCTCTCACCACCCAGTAAATCTCTCTTCTGATGAAAGAAGCCATTGCCAGGTACAGTGATCTCTCTGTTCTCGTACAAAATTCATCTACCGAAGGCGTAGAGAGCTTTTGGCTCTGGAGTGGCTGCTGTTGGTGTCTGATGGGCCCCGTTGGGCCGAGGCCAAGAAAGCTTTGCCTTGTTCCCCTCGCTGGTCACTGGGCTGTCCCTGCTGCCATCTGACCAGCATCAGGTGCGCTGACGGCAGCATGGGAGGCCCCCCCAGGCCCCAGCCCTGCCAGAGGCCTCGCGAGCACCCACGTGTCCCAGGCGCCGCGGGCTCATTTGTAACTCCGCCAGGCACACGAGCCCCAGGCCCCAGCCCTGGCGTCACTAGGGAAGTCGTGAGAGCAGAGAGTGGCGAAGACGTGTGAGAGTCAGAGGGAGAGCAGGAGGGGAGGAGGACAGAAAGGGACCCGTGCTTCAGGAGGACATTCCATGCTGTCAGATGAGGCTGGGGACCAGCGGGTTCTGTGAACTGGGAGGTGCTGACCTGAGAGGCTGCGGTGGGGGCCCCTCCTCGGGCCTGGGACTCCCTGGGCTCCTGAGCTCTGGCATTGGAGGGGACAGTGAAGGAGTTGTCTCCTCAGGAACTGCCTTTGGGACTTGGGGGGGAGACCATGAGGGATCTTTGGAACATTCCTTTGGTTTGGTCCCTGCATCCCATGCTGCCAGCCCAGCACAGATAACTCCCTGCTGTCATACCTTGAAATATCTTTTAACTAAGCTGTGGCTCGATCCTGAGGGTCAGGGAAGTAGCCGAGTCCCAATCCCACGAAGGAGGCAGAAATGAAATTTAGGCCAAAGGGACAAAGCTCATCAACCACTTTGCTTCTGCCTGTTTCCTAGGCTCTCAGAGCGCACGTCCGCTCCAGGAGAGAGAAAGCAACAGCACATTTTCAGGGCTGGGCCGATTACTGATAAACGCTACGGAGCATAAACCCTCACTGCCCTGCGGGCGGGCGGGTGGGCGGGCGGGCTCGGGCTTCCTAGTCTGACCTTCTCACACTCACAGCTTCCAAGGTTCCTCAGACTGTGTCTCCCACGCTCTCTGCAGTCTAGTCAGCGTGTCTGACCCCAAGGACAGGACTGGGAAGATGCCTCTTCCATCTTTCAAAGAATATCCCCTTCCTTTTGTCTCAGGCACCTTGACCCTGTGCCTGTGCTCCCCCCCCCCCCCCCCCCCCACACACCACTGCCCAGGTGGCAAGGTCAGACTAAAAGTCCTGTCACAGCAGGAGGATCAGAGGAAGACAACACCGGCTTCCCTGAGGCAAGACATGAGTCTCCAAAGCACAACGAAGTAGAGGGCGCACATGCGCACACGCTGGTGTGAAATCTTGGACAAGGAGCTGACCTTCCAGGACTTTCGAAACCACACCTGAGTGAAGCCCTGGAGAAGAGTGACGTTCAGTTATCGCAGCCCCACAGGCGGCGTGGGGTGTGTCCCCAGAGTCCAGACCTCTTCCAGTCTCACAGATGAAGGACACAGCTCCGAGTTCCTGCTCCTGGGCGAGCTCTCCCATCCACGATCGCCCTGGGAGAGGCCGAGCATCAGGGTGGGGGGCACCCCACGGGTCTGAGGTGTTTGTGGGGTGAGCTGCATAGAACCTTCGGGTAGTTCAAGTGCCCAGGGAGCCGCCGTGATGAAAGCCATCATTCACTTTTTTGCCTAAAAGCATCCAAAGCGAAGTCCTCCCTCGGCGCCTGCAGCGCCAGGACCTCAGGCGTGGGCCTCCGCCTCCTTCCTGAGGGCCGGTTTGTAAATGACGCCTTTATTGCTGCCACCTTTCTTGCTGCTGGAAAGAGAAGGACATGCACAGCTCATTAGTCAACGAGGGGAGAGAGGCCGAGCGCAGCCTGACTCAGCTATGAAACGAGGCAAGTTTTAGGGGCCAGATTCCTGTCTCGGGACCTTTCCTGTTGGTTTTCGGAGGGAATGGCAGCAACTAAAGCATTAACCAAAATGGGACCTGTTCGTTGTCCAACTGTTCTTTTTTAACACCTGACAATACTAGGCCTGCGTGTGGGAACCAGCACTCGTTACCACCCTTGCTTCAAACCTTCGACTTCATAGCAGGGTTCCTGGCAACCTTTTTTTTCATGCCAGGAAAAATCAGTTGGGTTTTAGGGGAAAACAATAAACATAACAATGAAATAGGAGCAAAGGGCACTATAGCTAAAGTGAGTGAAAAATAAAGTTTTCCTTCACTTTTCTTTTTGGATTCATAAAAGACAAATACCATATGATTTCACTTCCATGTGGAATCTAACGAACAAAATAAACAAAATAGAATCGTACTCATAGATACAGAGAACGGACTGACAGCTGTCAGGAGGTTTAGGGGCTGGGTGAAAAAGTGAAGGGATTAAGAAAAACAAACAAACTTGTAGACACAGACAACAGTACCAGGGGGAAGTTGGTGGTGGTGGTGGTGGTGTGTGTGTGTGTGTGTGTGGGGGGAGTGTAAAAGAGGGTAAAGGGAGGATAAATGGTGATGGAAGGAAACTAGACCCTGTGGGGTGAACACACAATATTCAGATGATGTATTACAGAATTGTACACTTGAAACCTATTAACCAATATAACCCCAATAAGTTCAATAAAAAATATACATATAAGAAAAGAGGACACACCAGATGTAAAGATCTTGGAAGACAGCCTTGCTGCTTACATTTAGGCAAATGGGACGCTTCCCCCCACCCCCCACCACCACCACCAATAGCTTTGTCCAAGGTTTTAGCCACAGCAGCAAGGCTGGCAGAACCTCCAGCACAACGACCCTTGTATGACCAGCATCTCATGCAAAGGAGGCCTGAGCCAGGGGTGTTGGTACCGGGGCAGGGGCTCTTCACTGTGCAGGCTGCCTTCCCAGACAGAGTCATCCTCAGGGACACATACGCCACCCACTCCTATTTCAAAGCAAAACCAGCTCACCTCTTCTTCCTTCTGAAAAGCCAGATGAATACTGCCAGGACGATGCAGAAGCCAAGAATGCAAGCCAGGACCAGCGAAAGGATGATTCCTGGGGAAGAGGCAGCAAACACACGTTACATTCCTCCCTTCCCCTTCCTCTCTCCCCACAGCACATGGATGTGACATCAAATGACAGGTACATAATCATCCACCGGAAGGTGCAATTTCCCCATCTCTGTTCCCAGGTTCTGGCCTTAGCAGGACTGGCTGGAGTACTTAGAGAGGGCCACGTGCAAACTGTGGGCCTTCTCCAGCAGGGGTTCTCAAATTTGCACCAGGATCGTCTGAAGAGCTTGTTTAAAATGTAGACTGTTTTGAGTCCAGCCCTCAGAGACTCTGATTCCATCTGGGTGGAGCCCAGGAATCTGCATTTGTATTAAAGCTCCTCAGCTGATGCTGGTGTACGTGGTCCATGTACCACCCTTTGAGAAACCCTGGGCTACAGAATAAGAACTTGCTCTACCTTTGCTTGTTGGGTATAAGGCCCACTGGGATGCCTCTGTATCAGGGTTGCCCGCCCCCCCCCCCCCCCGCCAGTTCCATTGCACAGTCCTAAACCAGGGGCCCATCCCCAAGGTCACCTCGCCAGTCCCCGACCTCCACAGTGGGCCCAGGCATGTTCTCAGGCAATGGCTTTCCACCATGGCCAACAAAGATTGGAGACAGGCTCTTTGGATGCACACATGCTGTACAGAGTGATTAGGTCTTTCATTAGAGGAGCATTTGATTGGCGGATCATCTTTGAATCAGAAAGAGACTTGAGGATCAGACCCACAGTGTGAAGGGCCGGAGCCAGAGCAGCAGCACAGAGAAGCACAGAGGAGGGTCAGGAAGTGCCACAGGCCCAGATCACACTGAGAGTCACAGCGATCACCCGCGGCAGCATGCACGGCGGCAGCCACATACCCAGGCTCAGTCCTGCGTAGGTGAGGTCTCGCTCTTCGAAAGGGAAGGAAAAGGTGGGAAGTTAACCGAGTCAAGCCGTGGCGGGCATGACCAGTGTTTTGAAGCTCTACCTTTCGTTGGGTTGGAGGTATTAGGCAGACGGGGTGGAGGGAATTGCCCACCGAGGGGATTCACACAGTGGCCCCTCCTTCTGATGTTCTTTGATCACAGCAGTTTCTCTGCTTGGGCCGGACTTCAGCTTTTCATACAAAATGGCCCAGGTGGCAGGTGAGGAAGGCTAAGCGTCAGCGTCTACTTGGCAGGCTGTCACCTGCCTCTCTGGTACCCTCCCCTCTTCCTCAGCAAGGAGCCAGCCATGTCAGGCTGGCGGGGCTGGCAGAGCGTAGCTGGAACCTGTCCCCACACTTCTGCTCCGTCCCCAGCCAGTCTTGTTGTCCTGGTCTGGTTCTATTATTCCTCTGGCCCCGCTGGATAAACGAGAAACTCCTCCATACCAGCCTCCCTTCTGTGCCAGGTGGGACGAGGGGAGTGTGGCTTCTCTCAGCAGTTATTGTTGCAGATAAATGGGGCGAGTTGGGCGTCCTCAGTGGGGCTGAAACAGTGCCCAGTGTCTAAGGAGAAATCCCGTAGTCAGCCTATGGGGGACCTCCCCGGGGGAGGGGCATGGTGACTCCATCTGCTCCCGTAGGACAGGGAGCCCAGTCCTGAAGCCTCGGGGTGCCCCAGCCTGCTCCATCCAGTTCTTAGAACCACTCATCCTCCTCCCAGCAGGGCCTCCATCCAAACCCAGCCACTGCTTACACACCCCTCTGGTCTGGTGGCTTCTCTGATTCAGGAGGAACTTGCGGCCTGTGTGTGTGGATGTTTGTTCCAGTTCACGGTGGAGGCAGGAGTTGTGTAGGAGGTGGCTACCCAGCCTGACACTAAGGCACTGAGACCCTGGGCGAGCCCTGGCCAGGTGTGAAGGGCCAGCAGAGGGCCAGACCCTTACCCTGGGATCACTTGACACCCTAGGGAACCAGACCCGAGACAGCCGGTGAGGTTCTGCTCACGCTTTCTGCCATGTGACCAGCGCCGGGCTGATTCCCTCGGGGCCGCCAGCCACTGTCCTTTCCTGCTATTCTGCAATCTCATAGTGAGTCTGCAGCCTCCTGGGCCAAGGCCGGCCCTGGAGTCTCTGGTCTGACTTCCCAGGTGGTCCCAGGAGTTGTAAGGATGAATGGCCGGTGTGGCGAGGAGCTGTCCTCAAGCACAGGGTGACCTGCTCTCTGGGCTCTTATCAGCCACCACCGGTAGCCCATGGCCCCCCAAGTGGCTCCCCTGCCTGAACACAAGGCCCGTGTGTGGCCTGGGAGGCACTCACACACGGCTTTCCCCTGGGAGTGTGTTGTGTTTGTGCAACTCATGCTTGTTCCCGCTCGGCTGCGGCCTCTGCTCTCGGGAATTTGGTATTGGGTGTGTTTTTCCTTTTAAGGTACCTGGAGGCGACCAAGGCCTCTAGGATCTTAAAAACAACCACCACCCAGAAAACCCCCAACTAGTCATGGTTGTCTTTCTAGGCCTTTCCATGAAATACACCTTTGTTCTTTGTTCCTAAAACTCCAGATGCCTGTGGTACCAAACTAGTTCTCACCACATGAGACTATAACCAGGAAGCCCAACCACTTGGCTAAGCCGTCCAAACCGGACAGTTTCTACCGTCGTCACCTTCACAGTCACCTCACACGTCCTGGGAGCCACCGGCCCCAACAGCCAGCAGGGCTCCGGGGCTGGGGGAGCTGCCCCGCGCCATGGCCTTGGGGAGCGGGGCAGCCTGTGGGGGCCGGGCCTCCGGGAATGGGCTCCTCTCAAGAGCCCCGCTGGGTGGCTTGTCTGGAGGGAGAGTCCGCTTTCCCGGTTCCCTGAGCGGTGCCTGTGCTGCACTAGGCCCTGTGCACAACGCCCGATTTTCTCCAGGGCTTGGCCGGGCTCCTTGCTCCAGGGCGACTACTTGTCAGGGCCCAGGTTGCGCCTCCGTGGAAACAGCGAGAAGAGAGCCAGCACCAAGACGAGGGGCGCCCCAAGACCGGGACAGAAGCTCTCAGCCACGACTTCTATGCAGCTTCAACAACGCAGCTTGACTGAGCAAGCAAAGAGCGCCAGCCACTCCGCAAGAGGGATGGGGGCAAGGCGCCACCTCCTCAGACTTGCGCCCTGCAGAAGCCCAGGGCAGGAAGGTGTTGGGATGCTATGCCTGCCCCCTGCCCCACCCACCATCACAGAAGCAGGGCTTCTCTGCAGAGCAGGGTGAAGCCATGGGGCCGGGGTCCCATGGGAGGCAGACACCAAAGCATCTACGAACTAAAGGGAGAGGGGAAGCCAGGGAGACTCTGGGGTGCAGGGAGAGCTGTTGGGGCGACCGGAGAACCAGGCCCAGAGAGAGAAACCAACGCCTGCATCACAGCAGCCTCTGGGATGCTGCAGAGAACAGGCGTCAAAGATGATGCCGGAGAGAAATTCATCTGCAGATGAAACACAGACATGGTTTGTTTCTGACGGTGAACAAGACAGGCAGTTCCCATTGAAGACCGGTGGGGCAGACAGGAGAGACGGAGGCGGGCTGGTGGACAGAGACGGACACGAGAGCCCCTGGATGAGAACACAGAGGAGCTCCTGAGCTGTGTAACGGGGGGGGGGGGGGGGGGGGGGGGGGGGGGGGGGGAGCGCTCGCCGGGCAGACGTGGGGGAGCCGTCCGCGCTCCATCAAGTGCTCCGGCGCATGTCAGGGCGAGCAGAGACAGGGCAATGCGACACGCAGAAGGAAACCACACAGACACAGAACGGGACTGTCACATGCCTCGCCCAGGAAGGTACAGCTTAGAGAGATGGGCAGGCTGCCGGCCACGGGGGCACTGCTACCTGGTCTGGCTGGCTCAGGAGCTGCGTCTTCCACTGGCATCTCGCTGGACCGAGGGATGCGGCTTAACTGCTTTTGAGGTCTTCTGAGGCCTCAAGTGCAAACAGAAAAGTCCAGCCGAGGAACAAGCGCCTCACTGACACAGCTCGCGGTTCCTGGAACAAGCCCAGCCTTTCCCAGGCTATTTGCAATTCTGTTCACTCAAATGGGATTTTGAGTAAAAAGGGATACAGTCCTTTTCAAAGTGTTTCTTTAAAGTATGGACGGTTTGGGTAGGGGCCATGTTACCTAGTGAAAATGGAAAGAGGCAGGGAGAGTGGGGGTAATCCCATCCCGAATGGCAAAACTCTGACTGTCATAGACTCAGGTCAGCGACATGCTAGCCCTCATCTGGATGATGCTTTGGTAAGAAGAGCAAGAAAGAAGCCCTCTGCCAAAACCGGTTTGGCTCAGTGGATAGAGCGTCGGCCTGCGGACTGAGGGGTCCCAGGTTCGATTCCAGTCAAGGGCATGTACCTGGGTTGCGGGCACATCCCCAGTGGGAGATGTGCAGGAGGCAGCTGATCGATGTTTCTCTCTCATCGATGTTTCTGACTCTCTATCTCTCTCCCTTCCTATCTGTGAAAAATCAATAAAATATATTAAAAAAAAAAAGAAAAAAGAAAGAAGCCCTCAGTCATCGCAGAACATCACCGTCTTTGGAGGACCTAACCGGGGACTTTTCCTTATTAACACTACAAAGAAATAATCCAGTAAAGAAGCAATTTCTACAAATAAACCGGCCAAGAAGATACTACGGGATTACCTGAGAGAACTGGTTTTCTAAGACCATGATAGGGACTAAGGGCCCTACCCTTCCAGGTTGCAGGAATGCATGCCCAGGAGAGGGAGCCGCCCCGCTCTAGGGCCTAGGTGCGGGCCAGTAGGCGCGGGTTACAGGGCCAGCCCGGGGTGCTTGGTAACCTCCCTGCTGAAGGAATGATGGGTGGTGAGACTGGGTCCTGTATCCTCATCAGGCCAGGGCAACTGGAAGCCTGGTAGCATCTCTAGGCAACTCCCTCCCAGGCCTTCAAAGCTTGGCAGCTAAGTGCCCATCTCTAGTTTTTCTTAAACAAATGAATGGATTTTAATGCTGTTGGCAAATTGATAACAAAGCAAAATAAAGATAAAACTAAAATGTAACAGTCCGCCAGGCTTATGTTCAAATCATTCTGCAGAGAAGACACTGGCGAGGGGAGGGGAAGGGAGACGGATTGGTTACATTCTTTCAAACTCATCCTGAGCACCAGGCACAGTGCCAGGCACAGAAAGCGAGAAAGACACCAATGGTCCCTGTCTGTACGGAGCCTGAAGTATGTGGACAAGTTAGATACTTTCCTGTTTCCGTGTGGTAACAAATCGCCCTGCGGCGCACTCAGAGTCAGAGACGGCGCGTGACCCCAGCTTCTCTGAGGGAGACTATGAGTCGCCATCCGGGGGATCAGGGAGACTTCTGGGAGGATATGATTGGAATTGGGCTTTGAAAGAATTTTCCAGGTGGAAGAGGCGAGGGGCCTCCCAAAGGGAATCGTGTGGGCGACGGAAATGGGGTGCACACACGGAGACAGCTGCCATGTTAGAAGGGGGCTGGCACCGTGTGGATGGGTGCCGGGCAGACGGTGCTGGACAGGGGAACCGGGCCACCTCGCCAAGGCAGCGCCAGCTCCCGGCCTGACCCCTTTGCCCACGTCGTTTCTGAGCACGGTCTGCTCCGGGCCAGGGGCTTGTTGTTAGGGGCAAGGTGACGCCCACGGCGGGCTCTCCCAGGAAAGCTGCTCCCTGGGCGTTCCCCTCAGAGCTGGGCCTGGGCTGTGCGCAGAACGCACGGGGTGTGGCGGCTGCCTTAGATGAAGGGACTGGGACTCACTGCTCAGCACGTTGATGATTTTGCTCCTGACCCGTCAGCCCCCGTCTCCAGGGGCAGCTGGAAGGCAGGCGCCCCTCTGGCCTCTCAGTGGGATACTTTGGAAGAACGGATCCTTTCCCATCTCATAGAGTTTATTTATAAATAGGAACTTGGAGAAACACAAGGTCAAGAAGAACCACACAGCATACATTCTGGTCTCGAAAAATTGGATAATTAGCCATCTTAGCTTGGCAAGCTTTTGTTCTACCTCTTTTTTAAAGGTTTTCTAAAACTACCCGGTTTCCTTAGGGTCAAGCGGAATCTGACTGTGCTACTCCACACATTTGCTGTGGGTGAGCGCCCCACCCCACCCCACCCCACCACCACTGTGCAGCGCTCTTGTCTACCTGCACCTCAGCCGGCTCGGGTCCCACTGCGGGGCATGCAGTTGCTCAGCGCAGGCCCACTAAAGACAGGATTATAGAAACTTTTTGGCTTCCTCTTGTCCCTCAGTATTGAAAACAGGGCTAGACAACATGAGTGCTCAGGTTGGATGGGCTCTAGCTTTGTCGCCCATCACCATCTGGACCCAGCGTCGGTGTCTGAGGCCAGGAAGAGTCAATTTGCAGAAACCAAGAACTGGGCCCCTGGACTGTGACTCCACCCCTGCAGCCCCTCCCTTCCTCATGGGGGCATCTGACTTCCTGTGAGGCAGGCGGGGATGGTCCCGGATGTGCTCCTCTCCCTGGATCCCGCCTTCAGGACAATGAGCCTTGTTTCCCCCCTTCAGTCCAGCTTTCCATTTGTGTCACTTAGTGGAGGCACCTCGTAGGAGCTGCAGATGTGCCTGGCACACCTGGCACCGCCCCGTAAAGAGTGGGCACTGTGACCAAAGGCAACGACGAGAGAAAACCTTGTACTAAGGGAGGGAGGGGAATGATGAGGGGATTCTGAGGGAAGTTGCTACCTGGGCGGCGTCTGGACCCTGGGAAAGAGGTTTGTAATCTTAAGGGTGAATAGTTCTCTCTCACCCATTTCTCTTAGCCTTGGACATACCCGATTATATAAAAGAATATGCAAGTTCTAAAAGAATATGGGGCCCAGAGTCCCTCTTGGGTTTGGTGGTTTGACGTGAGTAACCCCAGCCTTATTGTTTCAGGGGTAACCTTCTCAATAGAGTCAGCACCAGGGCGTGTGACGTAACGCTCTGGAGTCCTGTGGTAGAAAAGTCACTGCACGCTCCTGGGGCAGTAGTTCTCAGCCAGGGGCAACTGCCCCTCTGCCCCCAGAGACATCTGGCCACGTCTGCGGGCAGTTTTGGCTGTGACAGGTCGGGGGCTACAGGCATCTAGTGGGCAGAGACCAGCTGCTGCTAATGCTGCAGTGCACAGGTCAGCCCCACCGCGAGAATCACCCAGCCCCAAATGTACGGGCTGGACAGCCCTGCCGCAGGGCTAAGTCAGGGTTACACTACACCCCCTTGAGGACAGGACCCAGGTCCTGTCCGCCTTTCTGAGCACAGCCGAGGAAAGGGCAGGGCCAAGTTAAACGACTCCATCCCAGTCGTTCTAATCTGGTTCAGTCTCAGATCCTCCTCTCAGTCCATGCACTTTCTCTCCCAGAGGATTTCCTTAACGTTACTTTTCTCCTGGCAACGTTTTCCAACTCCGCTGTTCCCGATAACTTCCAGAGAAAACCCTGAGGGAGCCACACCTCATTGCAAACATGTCTCGGAGATAGTGTGTGCAAATAATCAAGTCCAAACCGATCCAGGCTCTCACTGAGCAACAGGCTCGCCCACACACCTGCAACCCCCACACACCTGCAACCCCCACACACCTGCAACCCCCACACACCTGCAACCCCCACACACCTGCAACCCCCACACACCTGCAACCCCCGCACACTTGCAACCCCCACACACCTGCAACCCACACACACCTGCAACCCCCGCACACCTGCAACCCCCACACACCTGCAACCCTGTCTGAGGCAGCCGGTGTGAGAGGGCCTCGTGAATGCAGTGCCCTGGTTTGGGGCTTCGCTCTTGTGGGGCTGCCTCCTCATTGCTCCTTGGTAACAGCCCCATTTGCTGCCCGCATCCTTTGGAAGTGAGAGGGAGGGGAGAATTCTGGCCACGTTTCTATAATCAGCCTCCAAATGAACAGGTTTGCCTTGGACTGCCGTGGAGTCCCACTCCAAGGAGAGAGCTGGGCCCAGCCTGGGCTCTTGCCAGCAGCAGCTCTGGGTGAGCCGGGCAGTGCGGGCAGTGGCAGCGCTGCATTTGGGCCTTGATCTTGACACCCTAAAAGCTGGGACTCGGTCTGTGGGCTGCTCCCTTCACCACCTGGCGGTCTACTGAAGCACCCCGCTACACCCCCGACGGCACCGCCCACTCTACAAGCGCCAGCTTAGACCTGAGCCGGTCTAAGAAGATGGCTAATTACTCCCCACGCCATAGCATATTGTTACAAGTGGGGGTTACTTTGGGATGCCAGCCTCAAGTTCCTGCGTGGCTTCTTCTCATCCTCTGTAACTGCCCTCAAACACTGTCCCTGCAACGTAAAGGCAGGATGGGAAGCCGTTAGTGTCCACTCAGGATCAGTGCATCAGCCCTGGAAGCGGTCGGCTCACCAGGCCTGCCTGGGAGTCTACGGCCGAGGAATCCAGGGCCAATGAGGGACATAGTTTGCCCACATCATACAGTCAGGAGGAAACAAAGCGAGTTCTTGAACCTCCGTCTCCTGACCACAGGGGAGCATTTGTCACCCTGGCCCCTGTGACGTGTATAGACGAGCCCGGAGAAGAGAGCCGATTATTATCTCAAATCACAAGCCACGTCCACCCGGTCTACATGGGCAAGTCCCTTCTCTGCAGGCAGAGTCCTCAGGTTTGTTTAAGAGACGAAGAATTTCTGTTTAACCTTTGGCACTATATACTCTGTTTAGAGGAACAGGAAAAGAGAAGGTTATATCCGGTTAGATCCCAGAGGGAGAATTCTGCACATCTGAGGCTTTTAAGGAGCCCTCTTAGTCACATCACGTACATTCTCAATTTTCAGGAAGGTCTGTGGTTCACAGATTCCGTTTTCAGGCAGAAAAAGGAGGGAAAAGGGGGAAATCACCTTAACTAGTGGTATCTGGAGAGAACACAGAAGATAAATTTGTGGGCAGTTCTTGATTAAGCAACTGACAGAGAAGGACATGCTTGTGACCAGAGGTATGGGTGATTCAGAAGGGCACGCTTCTAAAGCTTTCTGACTAAGGCTTTGAAATACAATCTTCAAATGTTTAACTAAGCTTAGTGGGTGATATTTATAATCTCACACAATAAGAAAGGAACAAAAAAGGTGGACCCGGTGAGGCACGGAGAGCTGATTTTCTGGCACATGGGTTAATGGGAACGTCTTGAAATATGAACACCTGGCCCAGTTCGGCCACCAGTGATGTGTAAGAGGATGACGTGGTCCTTCCACGCACCTCCCTGACCACTTGAGGCTCCCAAGGGGGGAAAGCTCACGCCTCTGCAGCGAGAGAGTAGAACTGGGGGTTTGAAGAAGGGCGTGGGCCCCCGGAGTGCCTCCTGACCCCCTTGTCCCAGACCCCTCGCCTCCTGCAGTGTCGATGGAGGTGCCGAGCAAGTAAAGATGGTAAGTGTCCTTCTGGGGAGTTATGGGTCTGGGTTTGAAAGGGAGAGAGGGGCTTTCATAGCAGGAGGAATAAAGCAAACTGTAGGTTTCCTTCAGGAGCCGCTGTGTGCCTGTGCCCAAGCAGCTTCCGGGGGAGGAGGTCGAAAGGCAGTGATGCAGGCGCTTCCCTGCCTGCTGGACCGAGAGTGGCTGTGCCCACGGATGCGCCTCCTCCCAGAGGAGACCTGGACATGGATGGTGCTGGTGGCCAACCACCCAGCAAGGCTGGGGACGGGCCTTGGGGCTCAGAAGGCCTGGAAGGAGACGTGAGCAATGTGATCGCAAAAAAGGAGGCTCCCATGTGCCTCAGGAGAAGAGGTGGGTCTCCAGAGCAGAGAGGTCCCGGAGCATTCTCCCTCTCCCAGCTGTGGGACACTCCCAGGCTGAATGAGGGCTCCGGTCTGTGTGCCAGGAGGCCCTGGCGTGTTCCCTACAAAGGCTCAGGGGAGTCAGGAGCACGAAGGGAGATCTCAGTGAACCTCCCCCTCCCCCCCAACTAGCTCCTCATGAACCCTGGTTCCTTTGTCGGCCAAAGTGCTCGTAACCCACCCAAGGGCATTGGGACAAAGCCTGGGGCGGGGCAGGGGCAAGGACATCTTGGCACCACACGCCCCCCACGCCCTGCATGTCCTCACCTTGTTGGAAGGAGATGTACACCAGCCTCTCATCAAACTTCTGCACCTGCCGGAAGTTGTTGACCATTCCCCTGGGGGATGGGTCGTTCTCATGTGTGCAGTACAGAGCTGTCTCCAGAGCCAGCAGCTGTGGGAGGGGAGCACACACCCTCAGGCAGAGTGAGGGCTCCCTGGCCTGACCTCAGGAGGGGGCACTGCCCTTCCCCCCACACAAGGCTTTGGCAGAGCCTCAGTAGAGAGAGGAGGGAAGGCCAGAGAATGGCCCCTCCCCTGCGGGCCTCTGGGTGACAGGCACTGGGTAAGGTGGCTGTCTGCCCACCTCCCAGGCTTGGGAAGGTTGGTGCAGTTACCTCCAGGTAGTGCTTGCCATCTGTGTGCAGGGAGGGAAGCCTGGGGTGCTGGAGGGGCCGACTCTAAGTCAGAGGGGCCTGGAGCTTATTCTGATGGGGCTTCCTCCCATCAGAAGGAAGGGAAAGAGGAGACAGGAGTTGCTCAGGTCATCTGATTGCCAGTCCCATGGGTTTTCATCTGCCCACATGGATTACAGAGTGTTTGCAAGGCAGTTTCCAGGTAGGATGTGACTGCTTCCCCACACGTTTCTCCCCTTGATTCACCACATCTTTATTCCTGTCTGCCTACTTGCTGCCTTTATCTAGGTTACTCAGATCGGTAGCTCACAGGACAAAAGGAGCCACTCTGCGGGGGTGACGGTGGGCTGGGCCGTGAGCCCCGGCTCCTGGCCGCTTCCTTCTTGAATTGAGGCTGCGTGTAGAGGGCCGGGCAGTGGCCTGGAACTCTTGGCTCTGTCACTAGCCAGCGGTGATCCCGCAGATCTCCTCAGATCTAACCCTCACTTTCATCCCCTGTACGATGAGAGGGGCTGAGATGACTGCCAGGCTCTGGCCCTCCCTCTCGCACTTGAGGGCGGAGACCTTCACTCCCTCATGGCAGCAGCCCCAGCTCCCCGGTTCCTGAACCGATTCAACCTGACCGTGCCTTTATTCCCACCTACCCACCCCCACCCCCACCCCCGCCCCCCTGCAAAGGAACCGCACTCCCTCCCACCTGGGAGTGAACACCATCCACCCAGGGATATCGTGGGAAATGCAACTTGGCAACTCTATTTATAGAACGGTGGAGATGGATTCGTTTTCGTTAGACTTGATAGCCCCACACAGCGCTTCCCGGGTGCCTGTGGCATTTGGGAGGTTGGAGTCGTAGCCAGTGAAACTCTAAGAGAGGAAAGCAAGCCCTTGGGGAGCCATGGGGGATACCTGTGGCCTCTGATGAGGAGGGGCCGACACTCACCTGCTCCTGGGAAATGTGCACGGGGTTCCGGAACACCGTCCAGAGCACCGTGGGGTTGCAGGGCGGCGTGGTCAGGGACCCTCTGTAGCGGTAGTACTCGGCCGGCCTCTCGGGCAGCAGCTCTTCAATGCTGAAGCCGGGAATGTGCACTTCTTGGCCTGGAGAGACAGGTTGGGGGATGTGTCGGCCTCGCTCCTCAAGCAGAGGAGCAGCTGAGCATGTGACTGAGCCTAGAAACGTGGAGGAAACTAGCCCCTTTCTGGGCCATCGGACCCATGGGCCTGGTCCCAGACACCTGCCCTCAGCATTCGTTTTTCTTCAGGTCACACGGGAGTCACTACCTCCGCCCCCACAGAGGGCGAAGCAGCACCCAGGACGCCTCACCTCTGTACTTGACGTGCTGAAGGTGACTGAAGATCTTGTCGTAGGAAGGACTGAAGGAGCCCGTCTGCAACAGAGACAGGGCGGGTTGAACTGGGAGAGATTTCTATAGGCCGAGCTGGACTGACAATGGCAGTGGGAGGGCTTGGCTGGGGCCACGGTCACTGCTGCCAGGCCTCCCTGAAGAACACCCTTTACGAGGACAGTTACGATGGTTCTCTAGACTGGCCCGGGGTTGGTAGAACGATCCTGCCTTCCTGTAGCTCAGGATGTGCTGTTTCCACCCAAGGCGCTGGGCTGGAGTGCCCCAGGGGAAGGGGTGTAGCCTGTGCTCCCGATGACCCGCTGTGCTCCCGAAGGCTTGTTCTCTAACCAGAACTCGAGGGAGGGAGCCTGCGCTCATGCCGCCAAGCCAGGCAGCGTGCATGTTGAGAAACAAGGCACACACTGTCTCATTAGGGAAAATACTGCAGGGGAATCGGGAGAGGGTCCCATTCTCTGGGACTAGGAAAGAACTCGTTCCAGGATGGAACTTGGATGCCTGGAGTTGTGTCAGGGGTTCAGGCATTTGATGGAACAGAACTGAATGATTCCTTCTTCACCACCACCACCACCACTACCTCCCCCTCAAACACACACACACACACACACACACACACACACACACACACTCACACACACACTCACTCACACTCACTCTCACACACACACACACTCACTCACACACACACACACACACACACTCACTCACACTCACTCTCACACACACACACACACACACTCACATGTCCTGTCCAACTGGGCAATTCCCTCCCTTATGCATTAGGGATGGGGACTAGGGCTCATTTTCCTGATGCCACGAAGGACATGCCCCTTTCTGCTGCTCAGCCACAGGAAGTGCTGCTCCCAGGCCAAGAAAGAAGGAACTCTATGGGGAACACCCCCCTGCTCTGGAGGCAAGACACCGGTTGCACGGAACCAAATGCCGAGTCTGATGTCATCCCAGCTTCAAACTTCACGTAAAACCCCTCTTAACATCTCTTACCTCGATGAGAACAGCTAGGACAGCGAGGCCGTCTGACTCGTTACTGGCGATGCTGGCGTTGGGGTACAGGTCCGAGTTATAATGGACAATGTGCAGCTGCAGTGGGCGAGAAGCCGCTATGAGGGGATGGGTGACTCATGGGAACCTCTGGCTTTTGCAAGAGACTGGAGTCCCATGAGCAGGACCGACCTCCCCCCCAGGTAGATCACGCCTCTCAGACCCTCCCCTCATGGCCGCCACAGTTTCCCTTTTCCCTCATTCCTCCCTGCAAACTGCCAGGCCAGACTGTCCACCTTACTAGCTCATTGTATCCCTGTGTCTGATATCCTGCTTGGAAAGTACCAGGTGCACAATATTGAATGAATGAAGAATGAATGAATGATCAAATGGGTTTTTATACTAGCCTGGAACTTTGGAACACTTCTCCCTTCTAATTTTCCTTACTTGTTCTGGAGCCGGGGCAAAATGGCCTCATGTGTCTGGCCCCTATGCACTTGATCTGGAAGCAGTGGGGGCTGGGGCAGTAAACCTCTAACTGTGACTTAATTGTAATTGTATCCTCAGTAGGACACGCATTTATCCCTCAGGTAGAGAAAATCGCAGGTCTAATATTTGGTCTCAAGTGAAAACAAGTCTACGGAAGCATTAAGACATTGTTGGGACAAATTCTGACAACGTTTATAACCTGCTTTTTAATCCTAAAGATGGTGTCATTTGTTCTCCAAAAAACCATCTTAGCAAACAGATCTGTAGGTTTGACACATGCATTTTTGTTGATTCTTTGCCTCTTTTTCCATCTTATATGGTTATATTTAGAATTCAAGAATATTTTATTAAATACAGCTCAAGTTCAATGTTCAAATACAGCTCAATGTTCTCCACTTTTCAAGTGGCCCTTCCTAATTTTTAAAAATTACATCGAACTATTGCTCTTTTTATGTGGACCTCTATTCAGAATTTCTTAGGCCCTCCTACTTCACCATCTTCCCCCCTCCCCCTCCCCGAAGGATGCAGCCTCCCCTATTGTCCAACACCATCCTTGCCTGGCATCGCTTTGGCAAAAGGAACAGAATCCTATATGGTTAAAACCCCGGAGGTCCTAGAGCCTTATTTTTACAGCTCACCTTTGAGCTTGTGGGCACTGTGTTCAGACTAATCGAGAGGAGGTGAAGACGAATACAAACGGAGGGAAGCCCTGCCGCGAGGAGGGCGTTGTCTTACACACACTCCACCCAGAAGAACCTCCAACTCCCAAGGACCCTCCATAGAGAACCCGCCACTTTAGGGTTCACCTGATGCACTGTCTCTATTATTGACATCTATGGTCCATCTTCACCAGGCTCTTGGCCTGATGATGTGGCTTAATAGCAGAAAATACAATAACTAGAAATATTTTTAAATGTCCAAACCCTCCAGGCCTACACCCTCACTCCTCTATTCCCCAGGGGAAAGTAGGGGCCTCCACTCGGCAATTAGCCTGGAAGAACTCGCAGTCCTGGGGGTTCAGAGAGGGGCCTGGCCTGGAATATGTGCACCTCCAGCAGTGCCATGCGACTGGGCCAGCATTACAGTCTTTCCACATTTGAAGCTCAACCTGTAATTAGCCTGAGGCATTAAGCAGTTCAGCAATTAAGAACAGAGGAGAGCGGTCATGTCAGTATTTACTGTGAGCTCCACTGGCTCATAAGTTGTATTTATCTCCTCGTACTGCCCTGTAAACATTCAGAACACACCCCAAGTTCAAGACCATGGGAGCTCTGACATAAAGCAACTCTCCCCTCTCCCACCATCGCACCGCCACGCCTCCTCCTGTCTTCCTTTGCCTTTTGGGTTAGTGCTTCAGGGCTACGTAACACAGTGCTCTGCTGACACCCCAAGCTGTCCTCGGTGAGTCTCTGGTTGCCATGATGCCCTGCACATTACGATGTCAGCCATCCCTTGGTTTGTGGCCGAGTAAAACAGTAGCCCTGGACTTGGGTCCCAAGTTCCAAGCACAGCCCATGTTCAGGGACAGGAAAGATGGGACGGGAAAGACCTGTGCCAACAACATGGCATGTGGAGAAGACTGAGAAGTTGGGGGAGCAGTTAGCCCAGGGTAATTCAGCAGGGGGTGCATCAGCTGGACGAGCTGGTGGATCTGTGCCAACAGAAGGGCGATGTCTAGAAAACGGGCCCCCCTGGAGCACTGCCTTCTGAGCAGCATCGCTCAGCAGACGATACAGAGACAAACTCAGCCTGTTTAGGAGAGAGAGGGGACCGGACACCGCAGAGGAGCCGCAGTGTGGCCGGAGTGGCTACACCGTCCTGTGCTGCTCACGGCCAGGTGTGGCTGTGGAGAGCATGAAGGCAGAGCCCCCACCACCACCTGTCACTGATCTTACAGCCCCTCCCGCCCCTGCCCCCATGCTCTGGTCTTATCTGCACACCAGCCAAGGGGAAGAATGCCAGATCACCCACCCTGGGCAGCTTCTGCCAGCCTGGCCGCCCCACTCACCTCGGCAGCGAAGTGCTTCCCACCAACAGTGTGCTCGGAGCCGTGGGGGTCATTCTGGTCCCCCCAGTGCAGGTGCAGCTGTGTGGCACTGTAGCGGGATGGCAGGCCCTGGATATGCATGCCCGGGGGCAGCTTCAGCTTCACTGCGGGGAGTGGAGAGGTGACCTTCAGAGTCAGGAGACAGCACCTGCTCGGGTCCCATACAGGGGGCAGGTGGATACAGCAAGGTGGAGACCCGGGAAACACAGCCTGTGGGTCAGGCACAGGCCTCCTTCCCTGAGAACATCTCTGTTTCACTAAAGCAATCCCAGCGGCACCAGCACCTTCCTGGTTCCCCTTGGAAAATGGAAAATGATGGCAGGAACACTGATACTAAACCAATGGATGCTCGTTCACATGTCCATGCATCGCACACCTGACCGTGAAGACAGAACCTTTAATGAAGCGCCTGCCAAGCTGTAGAGTTCTATCACAGCAACAATAGTAATTGCCATTTATGAAGCATCGACTCGATAACAGATCCCAACATACATACTCTCCCGTCTTCACAGTACCCACCCATATGCCCTTTTTCCAGGTGAAAGCTCAAGCCAGAATTCAGATCCAGGCTTGTCTGACTCCAAAGCCTGGGTGCGGGCCCGCAATGAACTGTGTGGCTCCTTGAGTTCATGATGCCCAAGAATTCCCTCCCACGCCACAGCCAGTGGCCAAAGGGGCCTGTCCCCCTCCTCCCCACCCCCCACCCCCCCACCCCCGCATCCCAAGACACGTGCTTCTTCTGACGGGTGCTGCCCTGGCAGAGGGGCTGAGCCCAGGACCCAGGCAGAGTGGTCTGGGCCCCTCCCCCTGGTGCCTCAGTGGAGCCCCCTCCCTGGCAGATGGACGAGGGCAGGCAGGCAGCCTAGGGAAGCTGGACACCTGCAGGTCTCTGGGGTCTCTCCCTCACCTGAGTGGCCGTTGTTGATCAGGGTCAATTGCTCATTGGCAGACACGTTATAGCCCTGGAACTCAAGGGGCACCAGGCTGGCATCGTACTGGAGGATGTCACTGTGCAGGTCTATCGGGGACTGCATCAGGCCCCCACAAGACGGGTAGCTCTTGGGCCAGCTCTTCTCCCCGGCAGGACCTGGAAGGAGAGATTCAAGCCCAAGGTTTAATCAGTTTCCACAAACAATTTTTTTCTAACCTTCTAATTCTGCGTTCAATAGAATTACACCTTTTATCTTCTTACTCCCCAGAGGTCTGTTCTCTGAGGCCCAGAGATCTCAGCCTACAGAATTAGGTCCAGCCAATGCCCCAGTCCACTTGCTGGTAGTGATGTGGGGAAAGGACTAGAGCAGCAGACCAGGGTCTAGGGCCCACCAGCTCTGCTTTATTCTGTACGTTGTTCCTATTTCGATACAGCACATCCTCCCCACATGAAGACCTGTTGACTTTCACAGTCTACCTGTTGTGAGCAGGGATCGCCCTGGGCCTTAGGGCCTCCAGGTTGCACAACAGCTGGAGCCCCTGCTGGCCCAAGCATGCATTCTAGTGGGAAGAACTTATGAATCTGCTGGGACGCCCAGGTGGGAAAAATCGGTGTCGGACTGACCGCAGTGCCAGGTAGGTCTTTGAGGCTAATGGGTTTACAGGTAGAATCTTCCTGAGAGGAAACCCTTGAAGATATTGGCTCTTGATACCCACAGCCAGGGTAAGTACAGAACCCAACCTGATAGGGATACTTTTCAAACATCAAGTAATTACAGGCCTGGAATCACAGAGCAACGTGCAAGGTTCACACTGAGAAAAAGTAAGACGGTACTACAAACTGATTATTACGACCTCATTGACAAACTATCAGTGAGGAGGCAGACTTAAAAATAAACCCTCCATGGCCCAGGCCCCCTGATGACTACCAGGTGATAGTCCTTCCTCTGGAAATGAAAACAAATAATCCCGTCCCACGGTCAGCTAAACCTTCTCGCTCCCACAGGGGAAAGTCTTTAAAGAATGTAAAAGCTATGTTTAAAAGATTATCTCCATGGTAATTAAACAGATTTCAGGCTGAGGTTTCTCCCGAAGAGCAAGTAATTGGCATGTCACGGCTTGTTAGAGTGGATGGTGGTGCCCTGTGGGCCCTCTCGGAGTTGGGAACCCAGCATTGCCTTCTGGGGTCCATCCATCAGTGCTCAGCACAGAGAAGGGTGGCAACTAGAGCAGAGGAGGAAGGAGCACCACTGCTTCTGGGGACCCTTCCATAGACAACAAGACTGTGAGTGCGTGTCCTGGCCCTCAGCACCTCAGTTCCCTGCACTGCAGTCTCTAACCATTAGACCTCTTCTGAGAGTAGGGAGAGTCAGAAGCAAAACTCAGTGCCCACATTCATTTAAAATGCTGCGAGGAGTATGTCCTAGGTCGGGACGCATGCAGTAGAACCCTTCTAGAACCTTCCAGGCTGTCAACCTTTGCATATACCTTTTCAGAAATGCTAGAGCTGGAAGGGACATCAGAATCTCCAGTCCAACCTTTCGCTGGACACGTTTCCTCACTTGCACACGTCAGTCAGAGTTTCCACTGAACTATGCTGTTTTTGTAGCCTAGGCCTCAAAGCGCTGGACTCAAGGCAACTCAGCTGCACCAAGATGGTGACTGGGGAGAGGCTGGAGGAACCGAAGCAATGGGGTAGCCGGGGGGAAGACAGTGATTCGGCTGAGGGCAAAACCAAACTCTTCAGGGACAGGAGGGAGCAGGGAGGTGTCATACAAACCCTAAGTGTCAGGAAGAGGCACATGGAGTGGGGGCAAGCCCTCCAGAGGAAGGCAGCCGCCTTTTCTCGCTCACTGCACCACCTGGGCCCACAGTCCAGGTGGCAGAAGCTGCCAGATGGGCATGAATGGAAATTCTCAGGAAGTAAAGAGGCCATGAGAGGACTTCTCCGTGCACACATGACTAAAGGGAACCAGGTTAGAAGAAGGACTTTCTTTTCCTAGAGCAGAGTTTCACGAAGAGAGCGTTTTCGTGGTGACTGCCCCAGGAGCTCCTTGGAGACTGGGCCATCTCATTTTCATCTCTGTGAATCCAGGTTGTGATGGGGGCCACACACCTAACAGGCATTTAGGAAACATTTTCCGAAGAATGAACAATCCCGGAGAACAGAGAGCTTGGGAAAAAGCTTGGGAAGAATTTTTCTCCTTTATTTTGTTCTAACTACCCTTCCTTGGACATTCGGCTGAATGAGGTGTTTGGAGACAGGAAAAGACTAAGGTTATAAAAGGCAACAGTGGTGGCCAAACCTCCCAGGAAAGAGAAGCAGCTCTCTTGGACCAGGACAGTCCGAGAACCAGATTCTGGCACCAGCTCAGTGACCTCCAGCCAGTGACATCCTGCCCGAGTCTCCTTTGCCCTGCGTACAAATGGGAGGATTGGACAGCATGTTCCAAGCGTCCCTTCTGCCTCTCAAGCTCTGGATTTATTAAGATTACTAGAACTAAGCGCCTTCACCCTCTGAATCAGGCGAGTTTGAACGAGTTGGAGAGGGTTGCTCATGCCACAGCAGCTCCTGGGCTTGTGACAAGGAACCAACTATGGGAATGCGGTTACAGGGCGCCGCTACTCCGGCGCTGGCTGGAGAGTGGGCAGCATCTGCATCAGGAACCTGCCCTGGGTCTTGGCTGCCATCCACAGAGGGCACGCGTCCATGAGCACCAGTCACAGGCCCTTAGATAAGAGGGCTACGCCTGCAGCTGCTGATGCAACTGCTGATGCTTTTTTATATATAAGGTATTAAAATATATATTGATTTCAGAGAGGAAGAGGGAGGGAAAGAGATAGAAACATCAATGATGAGAGAGAATCATTGATCGTTGCCCCCTGCATGCCCCAGACTGGGGATAGAGCCCGCAACCGGGGCATGTGCCCTGACCAGGAATCAAACCATTACCTCCTGGCTCATAGGGCAACACTCAACCACTGAACCACGCTGGCAGGGCTGCTGAAGCTTCTTTATTTATCATTGTTGTTGTTTTAATGGTCTAGAGCTCCTTACAGCTCTACAACTCTACCATATCAGCAAGGTAAGAATTGCCCCATTTTATAGATAAAAATGAGATGAACCGATTTGCCCAAAGTTAGACTTTGGCTGAGTTGCCCTGCCTGAGTCACAGGACCAACATGCCCTCTGTTTCAGCACTTTCCCAGGAGATTCTGCGCACCCCTCTCCTCCCTTCCTGTGCGCTCCTTGAAGACAAGAACCATGGCTCACTCATTCCGCCTTGACCGCAATGAGCAGGCCCTCGCGTGCTCACTGCGGGGTTTTCTCATGCTAATTGTGTGCTTGTTTGTCCCCAGGGAAGCACACACCTACATAATCTCCTAGCTTCCCATTCCCAGATATAATTTTTCCCCCTCAAGTTCAAAATTTGCCCTCCTAGCTTTCTAGTTAACATATATGACAATTTGTTCTGTCTGGGACCTCACTGGAAAAGAAACCTGGTCGCTGTCCTGTAGCCTGGGAGATGGCCTGCCAAGTATGGGCTTTATGGCAATTCCTGGGACCCTCCGCCAGCAGGTGATGGCTGGTGTCCCCCTCTCACATGACTGGGGATGTTGTCAAAGCAGCCTCCATCTTTGTGGCTTGTAAGTGAGAACAAGGTGCCATGTGGGTGGGCACCAGGCAACTAGTATCAGGGTGTCAGTGGGAGGCTTCTTTCTGCCCCCAGACTCTGTCTGGCAATGTGTGACCCACCTCCACAGTAGCACCGGCCTCTTCGCTGGTAGTTGAAGCTCAGGCTGTAATTTTTCAACTCAGTCTCAGCTTTCACACTCATGCCTTGTGTCTGCTGCCAGAAGACCTCCCTTGGGAACAACTCTTCCAAAAGAAGCATTTATTTCCAGCTACCTAAAAATGTGGCTTTTCTCTTGAGGGTTGGCTTTGCCTCTTCGATTGGTTGGATTCCTCCCATGATCATGATAAAGGAGATCATGTGTATCTCCCAGTTTGTTTCCACATAAAAGCAAGGCATTATTTCTTCCCAGTTCATGACTTTAACTGCTTTAGGCAAAACAGAAGAGGACCGAATTTCTGTTTTGAAATGTAACAAGAGATTAACATGGCACAGTTTTAAATGCCTCTTGTGATTTCTGATTGGAAACGATCAGGCCCAGGGTGTAAGACTTGCATTACCCGAGGCCCAGAATTTTTTTACGGAAAATTTCATATGTATACAACAGTAGAGAGGAGAGCACACCCCCAGCTTCAACAACTAACAATTCTTAGTCAATCCGGCTTCATCTACCCTATACCAACACTCCCCTGTTCTTGGATAATTCTGAAATGAATCCAAATATATGTCATTTATACATATTTCAGTATGTCTCTCCAAAATATAAGGACTCGGAGAAACCAAGATGGCGGCATAGGTTAACGCCGGAGATTGCTGCCTCGAACAACCAATTCAAGGGTACACCTAAAAGACGGAACGAACATCATCCAGAACCACAGGAAGGCTGGCTGAGTGGAAATTCTACAACTAGGAGGAAAGAGAATATCATACCCAGACTCAGAGGAGGCGCAGTGCTGAAGTGAAATACTCAGGTGCGAAGTGCACGCGGAGCGGGCTGGCAGCGGAGGGCGCGGTTGTTGTTTTCAATCGGGAGGGAGTTTCAGACTCTGAGCTCCAGATCTGGGCGAGTCTCTAGGGACCCAGACTCAAACGGGAGAAGCGGGACTGTCTGGCTTCAGTCGGAACTCGAAGGCAGCTTTCTCTCCGAGGTTTGCAGCAGTTGCTGGGACTCTGTGAGGCAGAGCCCCTAGGGGCGGGACTGAGAGCAGCCATAACTGCTCGCTCCGTCCAGCCCTGTAGATCCCCGGGGACCCGCCCTGCCCAAGCCCTGCGCAGAGCCATTTGCCGGATAGCCTCAGGCAAACGCTAGATTAGCACCGCCCTAGAGATCCAGCACAGAAGCTCTCCCACTGCAGACACAGCGGACTCTCATAGCCAGTTAGCCTGGAGGTCAAATCACCCCCGGTATTGCCGACAACAATCAAGGCTTAACTAGAACAAGACTGCGCACAAAGACCACTAGGGGGTGCACCAAGAAAAGATAAAAAAATGCGGAGACAAAGAAACAGGACGCAAATGTCAG